AGATTCAAAGGGGCCAGAAAAACACTGTCGTCATGCAGGGGGAAAGTGAAAGAAAAGCTTGGTGATTTTCTATTAGTAAGGCAGTGCTTAATGTCACTGGTGGGCAAAAGCAACACACCTCCTTGCTAACTGTGTTGGTGGGCTCGGAGGTTTCAACTGGGAAGGAGAAAGCGAGGTGCTCTTAGCTTCCCAGCACTAGTGACATCCAAGCTGTGATATGTCAAGGTTTCAGGGCCTTCCCCTGGCAGATCTAACTGTGCTTTATAACTCTCCTAACGTCCACACTGCTCTGGACACAGCCAAGTGATTACATGCCCTTTTCTGTTAAAGGTTTGACCATCAGTTAGTTTAACTCATTTAATTTCCGCTGGAAAGTGCCTATTAGCGATTTATTTGCATGGAGTCTGGCTCACCGTTGCCACCATTTGGATTTGTTCCTTCCTTTCTTCTTGCTCTCTGTGGTCCCCCACCATCAGGATGATTTGCTGTTCTGCTGTCCCATTCTCACCAGCATTTTCCCATGATCTGTCAAATGCCTGCCTCCGTTGTGCACAAAACCATTAAAATCAGCTGTCCGTTGCAACGCTGGAGGTAAACGAGCATGGAAGCCCCAGAGAGGGATAAACAGAAGCAGAACAGCGTGACGGGTGATGGCAAGCACAGTCCATAGCTGGGGGGTCGGGAGCAGCAGCCCTGTTCCTGCTGGGGGTGCAGTCCAGCTGGGCTGAGGGAGTGCAGCTGCCTCCCCCTCTCACTTTGCACCTTGTTTAACAGCCCTGCTCTGCTTGGGTCAAATGCTCCTTTGCAGGGATCCCTTCTCCCAGGAAGAGATGAAGGCTTCTCCCTGCTCTTCCTAGTCCCATTGGCCTAAAACCGGTGGCAAAAACCTCAAGGGAAGTGGTGGCCAAATAAACGTGGCTCTCAGACTTATTTCTTTCCCCCGGGAGGTGACATGTCTGCCTCCAGCAGGGACCAGAGTGGGGACCAGACCTCCAAAGGGAAATCAAGCATTTCCGTTTGCAAAACGGGCTGTCTCCTGGGCTTGCTCTATCAGGCCCCCAAGAAAACTCTCTGCTGGCTGGGAAGCTGGTCACCTAAGCCATGGCAAACGGGTTGGGAGGTAGCCAAACCATTGGGATGCCCTCTGTCAGGCACCTGCACCTCTAAGGGTGCACCCTCTCTCCTTCCCTCCTACTAGGAAACGTGGCAAATAGGAAAAAACAAGTGAGGGCAGGGGGGCTGCTTTCCTTGGCCATCCTTATCTGTCTGGGGATAGAAAAAGGCTAACAGGAGGGAAGCCCTTGTCTGCCCTGGCTCCAGGTGGACATGAGTGTGTCTGGGAGTGAGAGGGAAGCTGGCAGTTTTGCCTGGGGTCTGCCCTTTTCTCATACCCCCTACTCTGTTGCAAGGGGGTGAAGCAGGCACAGAAAGGCACTGAAGAGGGCAAGTAGGCGCCGTGGGATGACCCACTCAGGGCACTTTATGCCCAGCCCCTCTGGAGCCACCCTCGCCCTTGAGGGGACCTTGAGTCTCTGCAGATATCTCTGTGGTCCCCGGGTGGGGGCTGAATCGGAGAGGGACTGCTCCCCTCTTCCCCCTTGAGTACAACAGAAAAGATCACCTCGGATCCACCCCGGGGACACCTCTCCTCCCTCTCCGCCCCTCGCCCACCCCAGCTCTCAGAACATCCTACCCCAGCGAGGATGCTCCGCGCCTGGGGGAAGGAGCCATTTGGGAGGCGCGTAGCTTTAGGCAGGGACACGGCCCGCAGCAAAGTCCCGCCAGACATCCCTCGGCAGCACAGGATACGGATGCGATTTCTTTTGGAAATCTCCTCTTCAAAGTTGCTATCTTTGCCTCCCCTCCCCGGGAGCGTCTCTCTGCTCCTCCGCGGCAGGGGAAGATCATCCTTTTTTTTTTTTTTTTTTTTCCCCTGCGAGCGAAGGGCTGAGCGCTTTGTTCTGTGGTTTTACGATGGATTTATTTTAGCACACTGTAAATGACTCCGTTCCCCCGCCCTCTCTCCTCTTGCATGAGCAGGGGGGGCGAGGGGAGGAAATGCATTTTAAATGTTTTAAGCTGGGGAGCAGCATTTTTTTTTCCCCCTCAGGAGGTGTGTCTAACCCGGAGCGCTCTAAAGAGAGGAGCCGGCAATAACAGATGCTCTGTCAAACTTAAAAGGCGCTGCTTACCACGGAGTCACCGGGTGCCATCAAGATGTATCTACCGAGATTGATTAAGAGCAGGGCTCAGGAAGGCAGCGCTGCGCACACGCGTTTTGGCCGCGGTGGGGACGTGGGGAATCTCCTCTCTCCCCCGGCGGGCTGCAGACAAGGCAAGGTGGAGGTGGGGGTCCCAAGGCAGGGTTTTCACGTGTTTATTTCCACGGGGTGGGGGGTGGGAAGGGAAATCATGCGAGGGAGAAGAGATGCTCCCGGGGGTTGGGATGAGGTTTGCCCGGCGGAGGTTGCCCCTCCAGGGGTCCGAGCCCTGCAGCCCTGAGACCACACGGGGCTGAGGAGCGTGGCATTGGGGGGCCCCCTGCAGCTGGATAGAGCCCAGCCACTGCCCGCAGGTACCTCCTGCCTGTCCTCCAGCCGTGGGATGCAGCGAACTGCTGAAAGCCCCGAGAGCTCTGCCCCTCTCCTTGCCACCGAGGGAGGGACAATCCTGACCACCCTCCTGTGCTGCCAGGGTCGCCCCGGGACAGGGCTGCCACCCTCCCCCTGCCCCTCTCTTCGAGAAGGGCTGACTCCTGCTCGCGGTTATGGAACTCTAATTAAATCTCCGGAAATCAACGTGCACAATCAAACACTCGCGACGTCGCCGGGAGGTTAAAAAAAAAAAACAACAACATAATAATAATAAGGGGAAGAGGAGGGGGGCATTGTCCCTTTTGAGGCTGCTGATGATCTTGATTAATGAATGTTAAACTAGCTGAAGCGCCAAGGTCTCGGAGACAGCCCGTGGGAGGTGCAGAGGGTGGCCGAGCTGTCTCGCAAAGGACAAGGGTGATGGTTGTCCCCTGCCATGGCACGGCTACACCTGCAATGGAGCAGCCCCAACAGGGCCATTGACTGCTCATGGCTCGCTTCAAACCTCATCACGCCAATTCTCATCTGACTTGCCCGGACAGTTGTCTCCTAACTCTGTTGTGAAGTCCAGCCAAAAATTTCTGTGGGGACTAAGAAACCAAGGGGTAGACGTCAGGTCTCAGCTGCCTTGATGTTAGTTCCTGAAGAGCTACAAGTGATCTAACCCTTAAACCCCATGAAAGTTATTTCAGGTAGAGAAACATAGACTTGTGTAACACTGAAGCATGAGTACCTCCAAAATTCAGAATTCCCTGCCTCCAAATTAGCCCTGCCACACATGACAGGGGAAATGCCCACCCCAGGGCCAAGCAGACTATTTCTAGAGTACTGCTACCCTGAAGGCACATCACCCTCTTGAGGGTAGACCCATGCCTGAGATCCTGCCAGGAGCAACAGCTAAATGTATGCAAGTAGTGTAGGCAGCTCCTCTGCCTGGGGCAAGCCCGGGCCAAGAAATATTTTCTGCAAAGTGAAGGGATTTTTGGGGTGGAGAACAGGAGACTGGAGTGGAGAAGGGCTGTGGCCCTTCAAGATGAGAGATGAGGCAGGGCAGACGGCAGCCAGAAGGCAGGGTCACCTTCATAAGGTGGACCTCTCTCTCCCCTTCCCTTATTACTTCCCCCCTATTATTCTTCAAAGAGCAGATGAGATGGGTTCCCCTCTCCTGTTTCCTACCCTGACAATCCCTATCCCAAGGGAGAAAGCATCACTCCAGACCACAGATGAATTCTGGTCCAGGAGAGAGACAAAGACAAAGCAAACCTAAAGGTGTTTATACCTAGATTATTTACATCGAATGGGCAAGTTCCCTTAAGCAAAGTAAATACTTCTCAGCCTACTGACTATTAATTAAAAGGGAATGCTTTACACACAAGGAGAATTAACTCTTGTTCGCAAAATGTATCTGTTTCCCCTAATTAGTTTGTCATTGTGCCACAGAAGCAGCTTCCATGAATATTTCAGCACAATAATCAGTTTAAAAAACTAAACTGGATTTCGTGTAACAACATTTTTCCACAGTGCATGGAGACTCCGATGAGTGCAATAATCTAAAAGCAAGATCTCTTGCTCTCCTGCTTCTCTTGTACGTCGCTTTAGACTTACAGCTATCACGGAACTGCGAAAAAAAAAAAGTAACCAGAAATAAAGAGGAGAGTGTTGCGGGGAAAGATGGGGAAGAGGTAATTGGAAAAAAAAAAAAAAAAAAAAAAAAAGGAAAAATCTGTTCTGATGTGCAAATTGTAGATAAAGACTTCTGATGAGGAAGAGGGGAGTGTCTGATGAGGAAGAGGGGAGAGAGTGTGTTGAGAGATAACAAGAAGCAGTAATTTCTATTCAGCAAAGCCACCAAATCAGAGAGCAGTGCTGATCTTATTGGAGGAGAGCCTTCAACAGCAACTAATCCTGTCATATTGAAAGAAAATTGTAAATGTTCTCTGCAGAAATTGCCTGCCCATTGCAGCTAATCGAGCCCGCTTCGCGCTCTTCGCACGCCCACACACCCACACACCACACACCACACACCCACAGCACACACACACAACCCCGCAGGCGGGCAGCGAGCGGACCCACAGCCGCAGAAGCCCAGCAAGGACATTCACCCCAGATGATCACTTAGACGCCCCGTTTCCCTCCCTGGCCACCACCCCTACGAAGGTGGCACCTTGTCCTCATTTCCTCAGGAGCGCTGGGCGAAGTATGAATTATTACCAGCTCGCTTCCGAGTCCCGGCTTCTGCTATTTTTTAATTTCTCCGGTTAAGCCAGGTTTGATAGCGCCGTCGCTCTGAATTTTTTTTTTTTTTATGATTATTTTTTTTTTTAAAGCTCAACTTGGCTGAACTGAAGCGGGGGTTCCCGAGGGCCAGAGCCACGCAGGGTGTGCGTGTGTCCG